GAGTTCGACAACAGCCTGAGCAATATAGTAAAACCACATCTATACAAACATGAAAAAAATCAACCTGACATGGTGTTGTGTTCCTGTAGTACCAGGTACCGGGGAAGCTGACACAGAAAGAATGCTTGAACCCAGAAGTTCAAGTCCACCCTGGGCAACACAGTGAGACTCAGTCTCTCAAAAAAATAAGTTAAAGAAGTGGCAAAAAAAACCAGATATAGATTTTAATCTCATATAACAAAACAAAACTGAAAATTGAACTGGCATTATATTCAGCTGTGAATAATAAGATACATTCCAAATTTCCTGTTAAGAGGAAGGTGCTTATTCTCACCTTAAAGTACTGGGTGAGACTAGTCGTTGCACAGTGCAAAGGAACAAGGTCCCATTCCAGTTGGTATTGCTAGAGGCGTTGTAGTTGTCATGCTTACTCAAGAACAGAGTACAAGGCCGGGCGCGGTGGCTCACGCCTGTAATCCTAACACTCTGGGAGGCTGAGGCGGGCGGACTGCTCGAGGTCAGGAGTTCAACACCAGCCTGAGCAAGAGCGAGACTCATCTCTACTATAAATAGAAATTAACTGGCCAACTAATATATATAGAAAAAAATTAGCTGGGCATAGTGGCGAGTGCCTGTAGTCCCAGCTACATGGCAGGCTGAGGCAGCAGGATGGCTTGAGCACAGGGGTTTGAGGTTACTGTGAGCCAGGCTGATGCCACGGCACTCACTCTAGCCTGGGCAACAAAGTGAGACTCTGTCTCAAAAAAAAAAAAAGTGCAAAAGTTCTTGTAATACAAATTATCCCAATACCAATCCATTCAATAGAATAGGGTAGGTGATCAGGAGAGACTATTGCCACTCATAACAGTCTGAATAAGCTCTCTGGTAAACACATTATAATTCCTGCAGGTAAGTCAAACTGCGGATAGACAGCCATAATGTGGGGCCACTACAGACTGTACAAACCCACACTTCTGAAAAAGTAATGGTAAAGTGATTCTGAGGATACCCTTGAGATGGGCAAACCAAGGAATTATAGGAAAATGGGACTGAAAAGTGTCCTCACAACTCTATGAATCTGCCTGTCTCCTTGTATAGCGCCTCCAAAATGTGACTAATCCTCATCTCTGTCTTCAAAATCTCACAGAACAAAATCTACTGGTGAAATGTATCATGGAATCATCCAACAAAGCTCTAGATTTTATTGTCCTGTCACAGGTCTCCCTTCCAAACCGAACAGGCAATTATATCACCTGTCTTTCTCCACTCTATTTTTTTGCGTTTGAAAGGAACTGGGGCAATTGAATGCTGTCCCAGTCCCTCCCTTACCTTGATTGGATTTCTCTTGTATATTCCTGGCGTGACTTTTTAATGTCTTGAACAGACACTGGAATGACTAAAGTTTTTCCCACATTCCTTACATTTATAGGGTTTCTCTCTAGTGTGAGTCCTTTCATGATTTCACCAGTAACAGGAACTACTAAAGGCTTCCCCACATTCCTTACATTTGTAGGGTTTTTCTCCAGTGTGACTTCTTTCATGTATTCCAGTGTACGTGGAACTGGCAAAGGCTTTACCATATTATCTTACATTCATAGGATTAGTGTGAGTCCTTTCATGAGAATGAAAGGAAGAGGAACCACAAAAGGTTTTACCACATATCTTACATTCACAGGGTTTCTCGCCAATATGAGTCCTATTATTTTTTTGAAATGAAGTGGGAGAACAGAAGGCTTCCCCACATATCTTACATTTATAAGGTCCATCTCCAGTGTGACTATATGCTACTTTTTGCGTTTCTCTTTACTGTGACTACTTTTATGATTTCGAGAAGGAGAGTAACCACACTTTCACCACATTTACATACAAAGGTTTCTCTCCACTGTACTCCTTTCATGTATTCGAATGTATGTGGAACTACTAAAGGCTTTACACATATTCTTATTCATAGGGTTTCTCTCCACTGTGACTCCTTTTATGATATTGAAGGGAAGAGTAACCATGAAAGGCTTTACCACATATTTTACATCATAGGGTTTCTCTCCAGTGTGAATCCTTTCATGTATTCGAATGTATTTATTAGAGCAAAGGTTTACACATATTCTTACATTCATAGGGTTTTCTCCAGTGTGACTCCTTTTATGATATTGAAGAGAAGAGTGACCACGAAAGGCTTTACCACATATCTTACATTCATAGGGTTTCTCTCCACTGTGAATACTTTTATGATATTAAGGGAAGAGTGACCACGAAAGGCTTTACCACATAACTTACATTCATAGGGTTTCTCTCCAGTGTGACTCTTTATGACTTTGAAAGGAAGAGCAACCAACAAAGGCTTTACCACATATGTTACATTTATAAGGTTTCTCTCCGCTGTGAATATTTTTATGATTTCGAAAGGAAGAGTAACCACCAAAGCCTTTACCCACCCATATCTTAGCCATAACCAAAGGTTTCTCTCCCATGTGACTCCTTTCATGTATTCGAATGTATATGTGGAACAGCTACTCAAACAGGCTGTTAGCCAAACATACATCTTCTACATTCGCATAAGGGGTTGTAACTCCCAACCAGCACCCTGTGACTCCTTTTACCTGAATATTGAAGGGAAGAGTAACCATGAAAAGGGCTTTACCACATATTTCGTACACTCATAGGGTTTTCTCCTCCCCAGTGTGATCC